CCTGAGGGACTCGTCAGAGTAGAAGAAAAGCTCAATGCACCAAAATATAGAGATAGCCTTAATGAAAACCCAGTCAAGAGCATTCAGAACCTCAGACTGAGCAAAAGGTTCACCTTCCAACATGACAGTGACCCTAAGCACACAGCCAAGGCAACACAGGAGTGGCTTTTGGACAACTCTGTGAATGTCCTAGAGTGGCCCAGCCAGAGCCCTGACTTGAACCCTATCGAGCATCTCTGGAGAGACCTGAAAATGGCTGTCCACCGCCGGTCCCTATCCAACCTGACCGAGCTTGGGAGGATTTGCAAAGAAGAATGGCACAAAATCCCCCAATCCAGGTGTGCAAAGCTTGTTGGATCATACCCAAAAAGACTTGAGGCTGTAATTGCTGCCAAAGGTGCTTCAACTAAGTACTGAGTAAAGGGTCTGAATACTTATGTAAATGTGATTATTTCAGTTTTTTTTATTTTTAACAAATTCACAGACATTTCTAAAATTCTGTTTTGACTTTGTCATTATGAGCTATGGAGTGTAAATTAATGAGAAAAAAATGAATTTATGTAAATGTCATATTTCAGTTTTTTCTTTTTAATAAATTTAAAGACATTTCTAAAATTCTGTTTTCAATTTGTCATTATGAGGTACGGAGTGTGGATTAATGAGAAAAAAAATGAATTTAAACAATTGTAGTATCAGGCTGCAACATAACAAAATTGAAAAAAAGTGAAGGGGGTCTGAATACTTTTACAAAGCTCATCGGTCTGAAAAGCGAAAACCTCAAGCATGTGACAGAAATGTTATGCCCCTTACCATACTGTGAGGCCATGTCCCGGCCAGAGCGACGAGACAAAAACATTAAAACTCATTACAAACGAGGCATTTGTTGCATCCAGTGGGGACATAATTGGTTGACTCTTAACTTTTATAAAGAATATCTCTTTGGATTTGAGACTTTAGTCTCAACTTTACAGATCTTCTTTATGCACCAAGAGCTTGTAACACTTCAAAGAGAAAGGAATAATTTAAATCGCATCATATGATCCCTTTAAGTTGAAGTACTAAAATAACTAAAATTACATAGACTAAAACTAGTAAATAAATGTATTTTTAAATGGTAACACTTTATTTTAACATGTCCTTGTTACACATGTTACATGTACTTACTATTATAATAACAATTAATTATGCATAATTGCATGCAAGTAACCCTAAACCAAACCCTAACCATACAGTAAGTACATGTAGTTAATTAATATTACTCAGTACTTAAATGTATAATTACACTGTAATAAGGCCAACTTAGAATAGTGTAACCATTTTAATTTATTAATAATAAGTAGTAATTAATAATAATAAATAAATAAATACTATACTGACATATAAAAACTAATAAAAAACAAAACACAACAAAATGACTACAATTACTAAAACTTGCGTGTCGTTTTCTTTTTTCTTTTTTTAAATCAGAAGGTCAGATTATTCAAAACAGCTCTGACATTAGTAAAAAACTTTAAATATTAAATTATTATTATTATATTAAATTTGACTATTTTTATATTTTCTGTTTTTACTTTAATTTCAGTTAAAGTTTTAGTGTTTTAGTCATGGTGTCTATGTTTAGCAGTTTTATTCATGATGTTTATATGATATGTCTATATGATATTGAAACAGACGGTCCACTGAAGGCAAGTTGTCATGAACCCAAGTGCAGTTTTATTCAAAATAATCCAAAATACAAACAAAGACTTGACTTGACTTGGCATGAACAGACTTGAATGTTCAGGAGCTTGACAGAGGGGTCTTTAGAGCCACACCACCAGCACTGGCGCCCCTCAGGGTTGCGTCCCCTCCCCACTGCTCTTCTCCCTCTACACCAGCGACTGCACCTCTAAAGACCCCTCTGTCAAGCTCCTGAAGTTTGCAGATGACACTACAGTCATCGGTCTCATCCAGGATGGAGATGAGTCTGCTTACTCACAAGAGGTTGAGCAGCTGGCTGTCTGGTGCAGTCTTAACAACCTGGAGCTGAACACGCTCAAAACAGTGGAGATGATCGTGGACTTCAGGGGGACCCCCTGCACTCCCCCCACTCACCATCATGGACAGCACTGTGGCTGCAGTGGAGTCATTCAGATTCCTGGGAGCCACCATCTTTTAGGACCTGAAGTGGGACATTCACATCGACTCCATTGTTAAAAAGGCCCAACCAAGGTTGTACTTCCTTCGCCAACTGAGGAAATTTAACCTGCCACAGGAGCTGCTGAAACAGTTCTACTCAGCCGTCATTGAGTTTGTCCTGTGCACTTCAATAACTGTCATGAGAACATGACACATGAACCAAAGAACCAATCAGAACACAAGGGAATCACATGACAGAACAAGGACCGTGACTAAACTCCAAAATAAAAGACATGAAAACATGAACACGAAACAAAACCCAAAACCCCACGTTACAGATATTTATAAATTTTGCTTTATTAGTTTTAGTTTATGTAATTGTAGTTATTTTAGTACTTCAACTTAAACTAAATGAAAAAGTTTTTTTTTTTTTAAGTTTTATTAGTTTTATTTCAGTTAGCGTTTATTTTATTTCAAATAACAATAGTTGTGGTTTTAGTTAACAATAGTAACCCTGCAAAAGATTCAAAAGAGTAAATCTAATAAGTTCTCATTTCTGACATGCGCACATCACATGTGCTATATATTAATGCATGAGATACGACATTACTCATCAACCGTAAACAAGTGAACTCCATTTAATGTCTGCCTCATCTTGACGTGTTTGGGACACAGCATTTATGTTACTCCATGTTACTTCAGTATAGCATAAAACAAGCCCCTAACACCATAAACTGTAAGTCAATTCTTCATTCAACGGTCCTTCAGAACAAGACTAGACATGGCATTAACAGGAGGGAAGGAGGGTTGGCTTCATAAACTAATTTGTCATTTACCCACCAGCAAAGCCTTCAATTAGAACAACAATATCCCCGTAAAGTCTCAATGACAGACATAAGACCCGGTCCCTGCATGTAAGTGCCTTAAAAACCACCTCTTAAGCTTTATTACAGACTTGTGGAATAGTCAGGAAAGCATGCAGCTTTGAAATTCCCACATGGCAAGATGTTTCCATGTAGTAATGGTTGTTAACACACTGCATAACAACCGCCTGTATTTACTTCAAACCTAAGACACAGGTTTGGCTCATGGTCGCTTTTATTTAGAACAGGCTTACAGGAAGTATCTGAAGAAATGGAGACAGTTATGAGACAGAGAGAGTGGTGAGAAATTCTACTAGTTATAACAGCTGCAGAAAGAGTGAGTACAGACTAAATGAAAGTTTAGGAATTCATGGAAGGAATAGATAACCCAAAATGATGCAGAAAGAAATCAACATGAGCACTGCAAAAAATGTCTTGTTTTCCAGTAAAAATATCTAAAATTTCTTAAATTGAGATACATTTACAGTTCTGCTCATAAGTTTACATACCTCTTGCGGAATATGCAAAATGTTAATAATTTTAACAAAATAAGAAGAATTGTAAAAATTGCATGCTATTTTTAATTTAGTACTGTCTTGAATAGGCTCAGTGTGAAAAGATGGATCCCAAAATCATACAGTCACTGTTGGAAAGGGATCAAATATGCAGAAGATGCTGGAAAACCAAAGAATGTGCAGGACTTGGAATTTTTCTAAAGAGCAGTCGGCAGTTGAACTGCTCAAAAAAAAAAGGGACTCGTGAACAACTTTCACAAAAACATAAAATCAGACACTAATCATCCAGATAACGACACAGTATTAAGATCCAAGGGTATGTAAACATTTGAACAGGGTCATTTCTATAAATTCAGTTTTTTTCTCTTGTGAAGTCTATGTGAACATCTCTTATGTGAAATAGCTTATTCAGGACAGTACTAAATAAAAAAAATAACATGCCATTTTGTTAACATTATAAACATTTTGCATAGTCTGCAAGGGGTATGTGAACTTGTGAGCAGAACTGAACGTGAAAAATAAAATTAAATAAGAAATTAAGTGAGTTTTTGCTTAACAAGAAAAACAACCTTATTTTCCCTTTAAACTAAGTTTATTTTTCTTACACCATTGGTAGATTCTTTTTTTATTTTTAGTAAGAACTCACTTAATTTTGATATATTTTTCACAAAACAAGATTTAAAATGTCATTTTCCATCTCTACGGAAAAAAATAAATAAATAAATATATACCTGTATATATATAGCAGTTGGTGGCAAATTCTTATAGATTACTATAGAGCAACTGTAAAATGCACTAGTTTTTTATAACTTAAAAGGATAGTTCGCTCAAAAGTCACCTACATTTTGGATGGCCTGAGGATGAGTAAATTAACAGCAAGCTGAACTATCCCTTTAAGGACCTCAGCATCACCATGTTTGGATAAAGCTCTTTAAACAAACCAATCCATTTTGGCCTTGAAGACTCACATATGCCTCTCTCAGACTCAACCTCTTGCCCTTTCATAGATTTTATAATTACAGAACCTTGACAGTCGGCAAGATCTTAGCACCATGTATCACCTGTGCGTGTTCTTTTCATGTTGTACATTATGTGCATGACTCATGATTTAGCTGCGTTTTTGTGCACTGTAATCATTAACATATGGTTTTACATCACCAGTAACGCCTGTTTTCACAAGCGCTCCAAGGGATACGACTGTGGAGTCTGGATCAGATGTCCAGATTCCGTGCAGCGCGCAGGGTGAGCCCACACCTATCATCACATGGAGCAAGGTTAGATCCATTAGCTGCCACATTCCCTAACAACTGGCCAATCCATCCATTTCCACCACTTTGGTCCCCATGGGACTATCCTGGGTTTGTGACCAGACTCATTTAAACAATCTCTGGTCCTGATCAACAGGATGGAGTCCAGATTACAGAGAGTGGGAAGTTTCATATCAGTCCAGATGGCTATCTGGAAGTGCATGACGTGGGGCTTGCCGATGGGGGACGTTATGAGTGTGTAGCCCGCAACTCCATTGGATATTCCTCATCTAGTATGGTGCTAACAGTGCAAGGTAAGAATTGAAGGCTGTAAACACATATTGAGGATTTTGAGGTGGGAGGGTGATCAAATGTAGTGAGGATTGACCATTGAAGAACAAACTTTGGTTAACCACCAATCGGAATAATGCTTTTTGCGTTCAAACATAGTTGGATGGAACATAACAAAATGAGTATGGAGATCTAGGCACATTTTTTCATGTTGAAATGAACGATTAATTCATGAAAATGTAGACTGGCTCAAACTGATAGCTCCTTGATATGTAAAGTGTGTTTAACTGAATTTAACTGATCAACGAGATTTGCCACTTGCAGATGGGAAAGATAAAAACAGAGATGTGAAGTTGGACATTTTCTGCTCCTCATAATGACACTTATACAGTGTTTGCATACTTTATCATAACTAAATATTTTAAATATTGTAAAACAAAAATTAATATTTGATATTTTCCAGATACACAGACGTTTCAGATGTTTTCATGTAGCATCAGAAACCCTTTTCAGTTAAAACTTCGTACTGCTTACACAGTATGTGCCTTTATGTACAGGAATAAAGTAAACATAAGCATATAGGACATAAGACTATTTAAACACCAATAAAGTGTGGACTTTTTATTCATCTTATTTTGATAAACATGACACAAATAACATGAAAGAGTTTCTACTGTTATAAAAACATGAATTTGTGAGCATTAGCAGAATAAACACAAAACTGTATTTTTCCACTGCATACTTTGTTTTTTTTCATAACAGTAAAAACTCATCTTCATTTGAGAATCCTGCCAATTGTGAAACAGCTGTGTCGCTATTCGAGCTCCAAGCTCGGTGCTGTCTCAAGTTAACAAAATTTCTAACCACGATGCACAGCTTCAAGTAAGATGCTGATCGGCCTACATAGCACAGCATGAAGTTGAACAAACCTGTAATTTGCTAGTAATACTAAATAGCACAAGCTGATTGGCCTCTGCTGGATCTGTAGCCAATGAGGTCACTTGCTTAACATTTGAATAGTCTGTCGCATTGTTTACTGTTAGCTGGTCCTGCACGATTGGACCCTCCACCTCCCCCAGCTCCACTTGTCTAAATCTCTACGAGGGTCTTACACTTGTTGTAATGTTTATTCACTCATCTGTGAAAATAATGTAATGCATTAGATTGTCTTAACTTGGAGACTTCTCAGCAAGCATTTGTTATGTGATTCATTTGATTCATTTATTGGCATATCATGCAATTAATTAAGTTGTATTTTTAAATAATTGCATGATTTAACATTTTAAGTCACTGTTAATTAAAGGTCCAGTTAACGAATGGAACTTCTGTTCAGTCTTTCATCACGTGTGCAGATTAAAATTTCCTTCTAAATTCCAATTCACAAGCTTTTATTTATACTGATTTTTGTATCATTTTCTCCAGTCCCGCAAGTGAGCAGGGAGGGTGATCCGTTTGTCTCGACGTCTCTTGAAGAGGCTATTCGGAGCATAAACAGCGCAATAGACTCCACCAGGAGGCAGCTCTTTGACGGGTAAGTGTTTGGTGCTACAGGCAAAACATGCCAAAAAAAACAATTCCTTCTGCTATGAGTCACAGTGCCGTAACCCATCAGGAATTTACTGGGAGCATTTATGCCTTAGACAAGGGCTGGTCACTGCGGTATGATTCCTAATTTATCACTGCAAGGGGACTCTGCGCTCTGAGCTTGATGTTAGGGGGTTATTTTGTCTGTCGAGGCCAGTGCCAGCTCACGTTAGCTCACTGAGAGTGTTTGTGTTTCATAACTGGAGAGGACTGCTTCAAAGACAAATGCTTTTGAATGAAGTCTAATGGAGAGATGTTATCATAGTAAAGAGAGATTGCCAAAGATTAGATTTGGAATTACAAAACTGATGTTTAAAATTTTTAAATTTTAAATTACAAAGTTAGTTGACATTTTGACTAAGCTTGCCAAGACATTAAAGCATGCTTATTGAATTTATGCAGTCCAAAACAACTGGTCATGGGTGAAAATGAAAAAAAAAACTGTCAATGTTTTTGGCACAAATGACCACAGATATATTGTTATAACTTGGCACCTTCTTAGTTCACAAGAGATAATATGTGAAGTGAAGCCAACTCTCTGAATGATAAAAATTATATTAATGCTGACGGCTTTGATGTTCTTTAGCTTTTGTTTAAATCGACACCAACAGCCTTGGAGCAAATGCTTATTGTTGATTCTGGCAAAACGCTTATTCATTGTTTCATATGGTTCTCTCAAATAACCCTAGTAAACACTAAATTAGTTCTGACATAAATAACTGAATTTAGGTAGGTAGGCTGTTATTTGTAGTCAGCTTTTAAAATGTAACTTATTGACATGTCACTGATCTTTATTCTTTACTTAATATCCTAATGATTTTGGCTAAATCGATTTTGATCAGTTTTGACACATGCAATGTATTGTTGGCTATTGCTAAAAATATACCTGTGCTACTTATGACTGCTTTTGTGATCCAGGGTCACATATAATCAATCAATAGGAGAAAATATGGTGACATCTATTAAATTAATTTTTACTCTATTTACCAGGGGTGTCTTGCCTGTCCACTGTCCACAGTTTGAAAAAAGTTTTGAATTGATTAATAAGAAATTATGAGATTGCGCTATGAGATTGATCTACTTATCTGTTAGATGTAATGCAGGTCTGCAGTTTGCTAATATGTATTCTCTTCCAGAGTGAGTCTGAATGGCTTTTGTGAATGTGGAAGTTAATGTGTTCTCCACCATCATCAGATCTCCTCGTACCCCTGCCGAGCTTCTGGCTCTGTTTCGTTACCCCCGGGACCCCTACACAGTGGAGCAGGCCAGAGCTGGAGAGATTTTTGAGCAGACCCTACTTCTCATCCAGAGGCATGTCAATCAGGGCCTCATGGTGGACACTAATGGAACAGGTATTTCACACCAACATTCTGCTTTTCAAATGAGAGATTCTTGCTATGGTGATTCATTATGCAACTAGTATATGGCAAATGTCTGCTTTACTAAATAATCAGCAGACACTGTGGCACTTTCTGCTGCAGAAGACATGGGTCACTGTTTTTTCTGGTTATGACAACAGCACAGCTTTCATCGCCACACTAAGGCAAAATGGCCTCACATGTTTGGACAAGCCCTGCCCCAATCTGAGCATTTATCCTCTGGACACATTCACTGACACAAGTACCAAGAAGGGGTCAACAGGCACAATTACTTGCATCTATTGCTGATCAGAATTTCAGAATTTTTTAAAATCAGAATTTAACCATCATAATAGGGTCTGGTCCACTTTCCATCTAATTAGTTCACATTATATCAACACAACTTTCTTACCAGGCTGTTAATAACCAGTGTAACCTTACTCACAGAAACTGTGTAGCTGTGAGACAGTCCGATTGGAACCAGTTTTGTCCAGTTATTGCTTGAGGATGAGACTAAGTGCCCTCTTAAAGGGATAGTTCACCCAAAACTGAAAATTATGACATCATTTACTCACTCTCATGCTGTTTCAAACACATAAGTCTTTGGTTAATCTTTGAAACAAAAATTAAGAAGGTTTTTGTCCCTTCATTGAAAGTCTAGGTAACCAAAAGGTCCAAAAGATCCAAAAAGGTCATAAAGGCATCATAAAATGAATCTATATGAATTATACGAATCTATACAAAGCGTTTTTTTTTTGTTTTTTTTTGGCACACATACATAGTGAATCACATATGATAAACACAGAAACTTGTGCATCATAAACGTGTGTGTTTGAGCTTCTGTGTTTACCATATGTGATGTTCTCAATCTATGTGTGTCGATCATTGTTCAGATGTAAATTAAACCCTAAATTAATCACATGACTTTGATAAAAAAAAACACTCAATACATGTGGATTTCATTTTTCAGATCTCCTAAGTTTTGATTACTTGAACTTTCAATGGAGATCCAAGATTTCATTTCAAAAATCCTCATTAGTTTTTCAAAGATTAACCAAAGTCTGATGGGTTTAGAATTACATGAGAGTGAGTAAATGATGACAAAATTCTCATTTTGAATCAACTATCCCTTTAGAGCCATTCATTTCAACTGTATTTGTCACTTTACAAAATAGTAGGAGTTTTTTTTTTTAAACTGAGATCAGAGTGATTTTACAAGACGCACACTCTTTCGTATCTTTTTTCTTAACAGCCTACCGCTACAATGACTTGGTGTCGCCACGTTTCCTGGATATGATAGCTAACCTGTCTGGCTGCACGGCCCATCGGCGCTTCAACAATTGCTCGGATATCTGCTTCCACCAGAAGTATCGCACCCACGATGGCACTTGCAACAACCTGCAGCACCCTATGTGGGGCGCCTCGCTCACTGCTTTTGAGCGCTTACTAAAGCCCGTCTACGACAATGGCTTCAATCTCCCACGTGGCGCCACTGAACGAAGGCATAACAGCTTCCCTCTGCCTCTTCCACGCCTGGTCTCCACCACCATGATTGGGACGGAGACCATCACCCCAGACGATCGCTACACACACATGCTTATGCAATGGGGCCAGTTCCTTGACCACGACCTGGATTCAACCGTTGTATCCCTCAGCCAGTCTCGTTTCTCCGATGGACAGTTGTGTACCTCGGTGTGCACCAATGACCCACCTTGTTTTCCAATCATGTTCCCTCCTGACGATCCACGGCAGCGGCGCAATGGAGCACGTTGCATGTTCTTTGTGCGCTCTAGTCCTGTTTGCGGCAGTGGAATGACCTCTCTGCTTATGAACTCTGTGTATCCACGCGAGCAGATGAACCAGCTCACCTCCTACATCGATGCCTCCAATGTTTACGGCAGCTCACAGCATGAGGCAGAAGAGATCCGTGACTTGGCCAGCCATCGGGGCATGTTGCGGCAGGGTATTGTGCAACGCACCGGCAAGCCATTGCTCCCCTTTGCAACTGGCCCACCAACAGAGTGCATGCGGGACGAAAATGAAAGTCCCATTCCTTGCTTCCTAGCTGGGGACCATCGTGCAAATGAGCAGCTTGGGTTGACGGCTATGCACACGGTTTGGTTCCGTGAACATAACCGCATAGCCAGCGAGTTGCTACGTCTCAACCCCCATTGGGATGGCGACACCATTTACCATGAGGCACGGAAGATAGTCGGAGCCCAAATGCAGCATATAACCTACAGCCACTGGTTGCCCAAAATACTGGGCGAGGCTGGCATGAGGCTAATGGGTGACTATAATGGCTATAATCCCAATATTAATGCTGGCATCCTCAATGCTTTTGCCACTGCTGCCTTCCGCTTTGGCCATACGCTCATTAACCCCATTCTGTACCGGCTCGACGAAAACTTTCAGCCCATCCAGCAAGGACACATTTCGCTGCATAAGGCTTTTTTCTCACCTTTCCGTATTGTGAACGAAGGAGGCATCGATCCTCTGCTCCGTGGCTTGTTTGGAGTGGCGGGGAAAATGCGAGTGTCCACTCAACTGCTTAACACCGAACTTACCGAACGCCTTTTCTCGATGGCGCACTCCGTGGCGCTTGACCTTGCTGCCATGAATATCCAAAGGGGACGTGACCATGGTATGCCACCTTACAATGACTACCGGGTGTTCTGCAACCTGACGTCCGCGCAGACGTTTGATGATCTAAGGAATGAGATTCAGAACCCCAGCGTGCGAGAAAAGCTTCAAAGGTTAGGTCTCGTTCTATATCACGTCATTGAAAGACGCATTCAGCATTTTCTAGGTGTAATGGTCTGTTCTGCTCCCAGGCTGTATGGCACACCTCAGAATATTGACCTGTTTCCTGCGCTGATGGCTGAAGAGCTGGTGCCTGGCAGCAGACTGGGACCGACCCTCATGTGTTTACTGGCAACCCAGTTCAAGCGTCTCAGAGATGGTGACCGGTAAGACCTGGCCTTGTTCCTCAGAAATTGCTTCTTTTTTTTTTTTTCAAATTTCAAACTTATTTGTATAGTTTTTTTCATAATACACATTAGGGCTTTTCACACTGCGCGTAACCCTGGGTTATCGTGATTATAAACCCCATTTTTAACCTCGGCTTAAGGCATGCTTCACACTTGTAATTTAGACAAGTTATATGTTATGAAAGCCTGCTCCGGAGCAGTGATAGCAGTGCTATGTTGTGGTGTCAAACATGTACCATGTTAAACAATTCTAGCAACAGACACCCAATCAATCGTGCCTCACTTTCACATGCTTTGGTCAGTCACAGAAACACAGCACGTTGTATAAACGGTCTCCTTGCTGCTTAAGGCGAAAAAAGCCAAATAGTGATGGACAACATGAATTGGAGAGAAGAAAAGATTGTCTTGGAGTGTTTATTCTACCTGTATAGTCCAATAAGTCCATTTAGGGAAAATCTAACAATTTGCAATATATAAAATATGGATGCGCAATGTAAATATTATGTAAACATGTATTGCTACTTTCGTTCAATCAATGACACTGACACAGCAAATAAGAACATTAACCGCAGATAAATTGTGAGCAGTGTGAAACGTGAAGCAGAATTCTGTTTACCTGGGTTTAGAGTATGAGAAGCCCTATTGTTTCAAAGCAGCTTTCCAAAAATTATGATGTTCTTGTTTATAATATCTTATATTCATACCTTATAGTCACGTTTAGCAGATTAGAGCTAGGTGATAATATAGTTTACATTTTGCGATAATACAAGTGATTAAGCAGTTGAGATTTGCTATATAGTATATATCGTCCTACATGAGTATACAGTATGTATGTTGGTAAAATAGGATGTACTATATATCCAACTTTTAATATGTTGTTTACATATAGTTTAAATTTTTTCGACAATATATACAATCAAGCTGTTGAGATTTGCTATGGTACATACAGCAGTGGTCACCAACCTTTTTAAGCCCAAGATCCCTGACCTTGGCCTTTATGAAAGACAAGATCTACCTATTGAAGAATTGATAGAAAAAGATTGTACTTCCAATTTGAGGCCTTTTATTTCGTATTTTAATTAGTGATGCACCGATCATGGCTGATTCAGATTCTATTTTTTTTTTTTTTTATTTAGCAAATTGCCCGATACCGATACTGGTTACAGAATTTTGTTTGTTTGTTTGTTTTTGTTTTGTTTTTTTAAGCAAATTTATTTATTGGTTATTTTATGGAAGAAAATAATGCCAAATGTCTTTGAAACGTAAAAGCATGTTGAATTGCACTAACTGAAAAAATAATGCATTGCATTAACAGTGCTTGCATTTTAATGCCTTGTATTTTCAGGGCTTGCATTTTTAGGGGCTGAAATCCAACATAGTTGTATATTTAAGCTGTGAATATTTCAATTTCAATTTGCGCAATGCGCAAAACTGCAAAAAATGTGCACAAACATTTTCCATAAAGAAAACACTAACGTGGTTTATTGCCTCAAGACATTGATAATAAATGACTAAATTCGGTGTCTAATTAATAAAATATACTATGTATAGTTAAGCAGATGAGCCCATATTAACACAACCCACAGAGTTTTACCTAAACCTTTTTCTCCCATGGAAAACCAAGTGCAAAGTTAGTTTTAGGTTTGATATTCGCTGCATATTCGTCCAGACTGCTGTAGGGACCGTCTGCAAATTTACCAGTTTACACAGTACAAAACGAAGTATACAATAATTAATTCAAATTAATGTTTACAAGGCTATAGTAAAGAGGGCAAAATTACTAAATATATATGGCCAATTTCTCACCTTAGACAATACTTCCCCTAAGTATGTAAAGTACACAGTGTATTTTTAAGAAAAAAAAGTAGCCTAATTCATCAAAATTTAGTTTTTTGTGTTCCAAATGTTGTATGTTCCTAGTGACCAGACTGACTTGCTACAGTTAAAATGTTGCCAATAGCTTTCTTACTGTACATATAGTATATAATTATTCACCTAATGTTTTGTTCCCATGTTCCAAAGGTTGTAGTACATTCCTAGTGACTAGAATGACTTACTATAGGTGCATTTTTGCCAATAACTCCCTTACTGTACGTACAGTACACAGATATTTTACACTACAACCTTTGTAACATTAAAAAACTCTTAAAAAAACTTACAGTATTTATTTATTTAATGATTTAATAATTGTGTACTGTACATACAGTAAGGGAGGTATTGGCAAAATCTCACCTGCAGTAAGTTGTCTTGTATCTAGCAACGTACTAAATCCTTTGAACATGAAAAAAACCCTTTCAGGGACTTACAGTAACTTTTTATGAAAATAATTGTGTACTGTACATATATGAAGGCAAAATCTCACCTGTAGTAAGTCAACCTGGACACTAGGAACATACTACAACCTTTAGGAACACGAAAAAAAGCCTTTTGGGGACTTTTTATGACCATAATTGTGTACTGTGTTTGTGTATAGGGGTATATATATTTGTGTATATTACACTATGAGTAATACAATGACAGTGTGTAATTTTAAATGTTAAAAGTCATTTTAATTACAATACATTGAATGTTTTAACCCAGTCGGTGGAATTGTCAGACGGTCTCTTGGGCATGGCTTGTGAGATAGCGCGTCAAAGCTTTCTCCTGTTTAAATTTACAGCTACAATACACATAGGCGGGTTTGAATTATTTTTTTTTATGTCGATATAAAGTGGCTGCATATTGTTAAAACTAATCGTGGTAGTGATATATTTGTAGGACTGTCGACTCTATATCAGTGTGGCAAGGGAAAGCGAATGTCCGGCGAACATCGAACCTAAAACTAACGGCGATAGAAAAGCGGCGATTATAAAGAAAATGCAGCGCGTTGAGTTCTTCTCGCCTCATTTGCTTGCCTGTATATAGTTTGCATCATCAGTACGGTGTAAGTTTAGTCTTCTTATACCACTGCATTAGTTCACTGTGGTGCGTTATGAATTTTTCACGTTACGTGTCGTTGGGGAATCCTGGAGTGTGACGTATGAGGGGAACCCCAGTATTACAACTCAGCGTCACACAAGCCATGATACAAAGTTAAGGGAAATAAGCAACCAAAAACAATATATGTCTTCCTCCAATGTAATGTTAGTTCTGTACAGCGTCAGCGTCGGTTAAAATAGCATTATAATCTCCTTTGTGATAGAGATAGCTGCTTACATGCAGACTAAACGAGTAACAGCAAAGATATTGAATTAAACGTAAACACAATCAGCTTTTCCGCATATAGGCTACATACTGGCCCTGATTATCATAACTTCTACTTACCACTTCCTCCATTCCTGCAAATCAGCTTTTATGAATGAATGAATGACTTGCGCTACCGGTTGTTTTGGTTTTTATCAACAGCCGCTTGCGCCACCTGCTGGTGAGCGACTGACAGCAGCTGGAGATCATGCATCGGTGCTCTAATGCTATTCCTGCAGTTCCCGGATGTGCAATGCCGAATTTTAACCACTGAATTTGTGGAAGCGAATTTGTAAAGTGAAATAAAATGGACCGAAAATTGCCTGTCAAATATTATACATCATATTTTTAAACAGATTTAATATTTTGGAAGTGAACTCTAGAAGGTGAATATGAATTATTGAATTTTTAATCATGAAAATGTGTGTGAAATGTTTTGAATTGAAATATTCACAGCTTAAATATACAGATATGTTGGATTTCAGCCACTAAAAAAGCAAAAACTGTTAATGCAATGCATTATTTTTTTCAGTTAGTGCAATTCAACGTGCTTTTTTGTTCCAAAGACATTTGTCATTATTTGTCTTCCATATTATTTGCTCTATAACAAGCAAACTGGCCTTAAACAAAATTATCTGTAGACATTTGAAATTAGAGGCAACCACTGCATTTTAATCATGATCCCAGACACGGTTAAATCAATGAATCAACTTCACTTTATGTAATTATAGGTTTTGGTATGAGAACCCTGGGTCCTTTAGCCCTGCTCAGTTGACCCAACTGAAGCAGACGTCTCTCGCCCGGGTGCTGTGTGACAATAGTGACAACATCACCCGAATCCAGTCAGATGTCTTTAGCGTGGCTAAATTCCCTCACGGCTATGGAAGCTGTGACGATTTACCAAAGATTGACCTCCGTATGTGGCAGGACTGCTGTGAAGGTATGAGACTGGTTTACCATGACTCACATCTTATATTCTACCAGTCAGTTGGGAATGTTTAAGACTTTTCATGTTTTTCAAAGACATCTCATATGCTCACCAAGGATGCATTTATTTATATACATATCAAAAAAAGATTAAAAGAGCAATATTGTGAAATACTATTACAACTGTTTTCTATGTGAATATGTATGTTAAAATGTAATTGTGAATTTTCAGCATCATTACTCCAGTCTTCAGTGTCACATGATCTTCAGAAATCATTCTAATATGCTGATTTGCTGCTCAAGAAACATTTCTGTTTATTTTAATTCTAGGATAGGAACATGTATTTGAATTTTGACACCCAATTATTTAAGTAGAAAAGGCATTCAAAACCCAAAGTAAACAGCATAATCAGCATCAAATCACTGTTTTCAACTGCAGTATTCTCACTAAGGCCTTATAATACATTTTGTGTTGCTTTTAATTTATTCTATGTTAAAAATCCTTTGAAATAATTTGAATAATTTTAGCTAGACTTGCTTGTATATGCACATATACACTGAATTATTTATTATTTTGTGATTGTATGTTTTTTACAGAATGTCTTTGACATTTGTGCTCTATCTTTTCTTCATTTTCATATTCCTCTTCATTAATATTTAATTGTTTTGTTTCATTTTTTATTGTGTAAGATTTAAATAATAATTATACCATAGTCTATCTGAATACTCTGATTGGCTGGAAGGTGTCTATTAAAACTCTGTAATGCACAGGTAGCTAAAACACTGTTCTATATTAATAAGCTCCCTTCATCATTCATAGCACACACAGACACTCAAGCACACACGAAACCACTACATTATAAGCATTTCTGTTTCTGAAGTAATTAAACTCACAGCTTCACTGTACAATGCTGCACAGACGCAGGTAATTGGCTCATGCTAATTCTCTACCTAATTAATTCAAATAAATGCGATCTAACTGCATTATTTTACTTCAAAATTCTACATCTAATGTTCTATAGATAAATCAACTAATGAAAATGAACTGTTATTCTTGTCCGTCCAGTCAAATTTTGCAATCATTGACTTCTTTAATTTGTCAGTGCTGTAAATGACCATAGTATAAGCTGTCTAGTCTTTGTACAGCTGTTTTTTTCTGCTTCAAATAAAGGCTGAATTTCTTGCACCTGCAGACTGCCGTACTAAAGGTCAGTTCAATGCCCTGTCGTACCACTTCAGAGGCCGCAGGTCAGCTGAGCACAGCTATGCAGAGGAGAAACCTGCCAGCAACCTCACCGACAACAGCAGGTACAACTCACATGCTCCATTTAATTTCTGCATTTCACCAAAGATCATTTGTAAATTCTCATAGCATTACTGATAATGGACCCTTTTCACATTTCCAGGATTCTCAGAAACAAAAGTCATAAGGCTAGATTTACTAAACAGGGCAAATTAGCATTAGAGCGCAATTCCATAAAAGCGCCGATGGGAGGGGAAAATAATTCTGCGTGTGATTTACTGGCAAGGTTCACATTAAAGAACACCGACGCAACATCTGATTTCCATAATGACCAGCACAATTTACCAAGAGCAGCGCAAATTACCGCCTGCTTTAAGACATGCTTTTTGTGGACGTTAAATAATGGCACAAATACCAGTAATTTGACGAGCGCAGAAGTTAGTAAATCACGTTGCGTGATTCATTTGAATACTGTCCTCCCATAAATTTTGCGTCTGAAATGGAAACTCCTACAAATGCATATTCAATAAGGTCAGGCGCAAAAATAACTGTGCCCATGCCTTTTCAGTGCTAGTTCTTCACTGCACGTCTTTAGTAAATCCTGACAGTACTATTTTAACACCAAAAGACGGTTTGCACTGGTGCAAGCTGTTGGTAAAACTGGCCCAAAGTTCTGTAAACTTCTAAAGTGGTGAACAGAAATTAGACTACAAAAAAAAAAAAAATTCCGTAAAATTTACGGTAAAAAAACAGCAGCTGTGGTTGCCGGAATTTTACCGTAAAAAATACGGTAGCGACGTTTTAGGTTTTACGGTTTGAACTTAAATATACAGTTAAATACCGTAATTTCATTAACTGGTATAATGTTAATATACCAACCTATTGAAGTACTGAAATCTGTTTTGTACCTATGTAATACACTGATAACCACCAAAAGCAGGAGGTGATGAGAAAGTCACTCGATGAACCAAAGCCTATCACAAGCAGCTTTTAAATAATAACATATATAGAAGGTGCACAGTGTCATTCACACAAACACTAAACACCATCATGGTAACACACATGAAACTGAAATAATGCAATAAACATTCCTTTAACAACATTAGGTATAACACACAACCCTAATAGACAAAACTGATAAGAAAAAACTAAGAAACATAGTTATTTCAACAACAACAAAAAAACATCAAATTTGAAATGTAACGCAGGGAATTCTAGGAAGGTATTTTTCACTACCAAAAACGGTATACTACCGTAAAATTACATGTACTGTCCAAAACAGTTTTTCACCGAATATAGTAGTTAGCCATTTAACAGGTTTTTACTGTAGCATTTTTACAGTCTTTTACAGTTAAATTCACGGTAATTTCTTACAGTGTATGTCTTTCTAAAAGATGAAAAAAATAACCAGTTTTCTGAAATGTAATGCCAAGGGGATAAAACAGAAAGTATAGTGTTTTACTATATCAAATCTACATTATTTTTTAAATGAAAATAACTGTGGAAATGTCATCACAGTCTGTGAAAAGGGTCTATAGTAGTAATAACAAATAATGCATAATTTAATTTGTTAAAGCTTATTTATCAATCAATCATACTTTTAATGATTTCTGTTTTTCAGCGCTTTAGAAGAAGCTCTAACTGCAGTAAACATAACTGTATCACCAAAGTCAAGCACTGAACCCTCCATTAAGGATTTCCAAGACTTTGTTGCTGACATGCAGAAAACTATCACAAGTTTACGAAAACAGGTTAGGACTCATGATTCACTTGGTGCAATGCAATGCCAAGCTGCACTATATACTTCTGTTATCTGTTTATATAAACCTTGTGAAAATCCAGTCGCAGAAATTTGTGAATGAATTGACTTTTGTTGGTAAGCTGAATAGATAAGGACGATTGCCATCTGCTCAGACACAAGCGTTTGGCAGTGATGCCAAGATGCTGAAAATGTGCAACAGGCCAAGAATCAAACTTTCCAGACACTTCTTTTGATTAATAACACAAGGCAGTCACAGTGATATAAAAAATAGCTTCCATATTTTCTTTGTCCACTTCACAATAGATGTTTTCAAGTCTATCCGATATCAGATAAAGCAGTGAATTAGCAGAACAAAAGATGTTGATCTAGAAAGACATCCTACTTGCAAAATAACAGATTATACTGTATATCACCTGTTTGTAAAAGGTAAACTGCTCATTCACAATTAATAACTTTTATAACAATTAATAAAGTAGTCATTTTATTGCCATTGCCTTTCACTCCCACACATTATAATATGAATCAGTATAGTATGGTGCATTAAAACAGAATATACTGTAGCATTTATTGTAATGCAAAGAGTAGACATAAAAAAAAAAAGAAAAAAACAATTTCTCACTGTTGGAACTGACAGATAAAAAGACTTGAAGGCCGTCTGAGCAGGACAGGCTGTGCAGATGAGGACGGGAGAGAGCGAGTAGATGGAGAGAGTTGGAAGAAGAACCCCTGCACCACCTGTCAGTGTCATGTAAGTTTATCAGTGCATTGAGCATTTCTGACTTGCATTCACATGTAGACTGTGCTGCAACACATGTGAACACGGTAGTTTTACACAGTGTACCAATGTTCAGGGTATTGTGAACTCTAGACACAGAAACATTTGACTTATCTCAAGCAGTGATTCTCAACTGGCTTTGGTTCAGGATTACAGAATTGTTTATGGACCAAAAGCAAATAAAATTGTCCTTAAAGTCAAACATTAAAATGTGTAACTGCAATAAGCTGTGATACACAACCTTTAATGTAATATATGAGATACATTTTTCTCGCCATGAAAATAGCCACCGAAGCTGGCATGGCGTTACTAACAAACAATGTAATATATGAGAAGCATTTCTTTTCCATTTTAAAAGTTTAAACGTTAATTTTGCTATTGTTATTATGCACAATGATGTATTCAGTATATATCATGATAATATTCAATATATATTGCAATTTGCTTGTACAGTAGCATTGTTTTTCTGACTGTATCAAAAATTGCAGGGTTACAGGAAAGGGGAGTATGTAGTGTATTTTTTGTTTGAGTACACCTTCAGAGACTCAAGCGTTGTTGTATTACACACTTTTACGTTTCACTAGGCTGTGTTTAAAATCATTTGGAATAGTTTATTTATGATTTACCAAATGACTCATTGAGAAGATTTTATGTACTCAATAATGCCAAATTCTACTCACTTATGGCACTTAGTGAGTGTTCGTTTTGGATGTGAAATGTCTGTTACATCTGTGTTTACTTTATCTCACTGCAAATGAATATGCAGGATTCTATCACTCTCATGTACTTATAATTGTTGATAGATAGATCAGTAGACAAACTGATTACTAGGGGGAACTTTAGCTGTCAAAAACTGAAAAATGCCCTCACATGGTACTGTGTGTCATTGTAACATTATAACTAAATCTGGGATAGAATCTGCAGTCAATCACATGTAGTTTAAAGGAATAGTTCACCCAAAAATGAAAATTTGCTAAAAAAAAAAAAAAATGGAGTTATCCTCAGGCCACTAAGATGTAGATGAGTTTGTTTCTTCGTGTGAACAGATTTGGAGAAATTTAGCATTAGCAATTTAGCATTGCATCACTTGCTCACCAGTGGATCATCTGCAGTGAATGGGTGCCGTCAGAATGAGAGTCCAAACAGCTGATAAAAACACCACAATAATCCACAAGTAAAGGAAAGGCACATACCTGTGATGATTCCTGCAGAAATATTGTCCCATTTTCAGCTCAGGTGTTCCTGTGTCTCTGTCTCTGTTAGGAGGCCCAGGTGACGTGTTTCGTGGAAAAGTGTCCGCAGACAGCATGTCTGAAGCCAGTGACGCCCAAAGGCTCATGCTGCCCCGTGTGCCTCAACCAGCCGTCACAACCGCAGGATAACGAGCGCCACGTATAACCTCAGGACACTTAACCAATGTGACCTTGAGCTCATGCCTCCATTTGTTCGATAGTTGCGTTTCAGGGTTTTTTGTTGTTTGTCATGTATTGGTATTTTTGTTTGCATATCCTCAGATGCCCTAAACAAAGAACCAAAAATACACTGCCTTAAAAAGTGTTTGAACAGATGAATGTTGGGGCCCTGTTTTCCTCCTCAGGCATGTTAACCGGGAGACGACTACCCAAAGTGTTCATTTACGAGACCGAGGATGGGCGGCTCCGGTCCTGGAGGGACACTTTCCTGCAGAGTTCAGCTCTATCACTAATCAAACACACCAAACCAAAGTCTTGAAAATTACAGTCAGTTGCATTCAAAAAATATTTATGTTTAAATTTTAGATTTACATATTTGAATTGCATATAAAATTTCTGTGCATTTGGACTGCTAGTAGCGTCAATGCGATACATATTTGTCAGTTATACTTCAATGAAACGGGTAAGATTTCTAAACTGAATACGCAGTAACCAGGTTTATATATTTATCATCATTACATTTAATGTGTTTCAATCTCATACATTCTAACTAACTGATTATTGCTTGTTCCAGAGGTAATCATATTTTAACCATGTTCATACTTATAATAAATGTAATTGTTTTCACCATGACCAGATTTATGCTTATTCTGAGCAAAATCAATTAATGCATTTTGAAAATATTCATGTTTAGATCAAATCAAATAGATGCAGAGTTACAAATAAACTGTGCCATGATTTTTTTGAGTGCCGAAATCTGCATTTTGAGTGCATCACAGTTTATTAGTTGATGTTAAAACTGTATAAAACAACTGGATTGAAATTTGATACGCAATTCAAATGCATAACTCTTAAATTTAGGCCTAAATGTGTTTGTTTGACTGGGGACGGAGCTGAACTCTCCACTCCAGGACCGGAGTTTCTCATTTCTGGTTGTTTTACGGAAGAAGCATTCTCAGGTTTGGGATGCTGAAGAACTGGTGCTATCTTACTCCATTTAAGTGATTTACCCGAGTCTCAAGAGTGTTGTTTTATGCATTTAATTGTTTTGCAATATGCAATGCACCATACAGTATATACACTCATTATGAGCTTTTTAAAACTGCACTTGAGCGAAAACCCTTCGTTTTGTAGTTACGCTAAAGAAATTGTAAACCTTACTCATACTTTTACTTTGTTTATGGTGCATAGTATCATATTCTGGACATATGTAGAATATTAGGTCCCGCTTTTTATCTTCCTCTCACGTGGAGAAAAATGTGAATACCTTGAAATCAATCTTTGCAATGGGGAAAAAACTCTACTGATCACCAAATGTTTGTTTCCCTTGGCAACTGCGGGTTTTCTGAGACCTGGTGTTATTTGCTTTATCTTGACAGAAAGCTGTTCTAGATGTTTTTGGTTTGGGAGCGACTGAGGTGAAGTGTTTTGGGAAGTGCAGCACTGAGCTGACGTCAGGCTCTCTTTTAGGGTGTTACTGTACTTTTCTGTAATGCTCTGTTCTACCGGCCCAGTATTTATATTCTTGTCATGAATGAAGGTCCAGATGTTTCCTTCCTTTTCAAACAGTGTTCAGAGAGATGTAAACAGTTGTGCCTCATCACAATACATCACTTGAAACACACTACTCTCTCAGCATCCAGTGTTCAATTCTATTCATATTCGTTCACTCAGCAGATGCTTTTATCCAGCAGAAGAGCAATATTTGAGATGAGAGTTGCATTTATGTTCTGATTCCATTAACGATACGTTTTAGTGCTTTTAAGGAATCACTAAATAATCTTGTACCATTTGAACTGGATAGGCGTCATTTGTTTGTGAGTCGTACTACACTGCTCGTGCTGTATGTTTGTTACTGTGCAGCCAGCAAGGAGTTCACAGTGTTATCTGTGCTTTTGCCGTTGTGTTTACCCGGTGTTTGTCATGTTCAGTTCAGACTGAAGACTCAAGTTTTGCTTTGATGCTGTGGAAAATCTTGTTTAGTAGCTTGGTGTGATGTCCCAATCATATCAGTAGAAGTGTTGCACTGGTGAGACGTCTGAGCTGTGGTGTGTTTTTGAGTTTAGTTTTTGTTTTTTTGGAGTCTGACTCATCGAGTCTCACTGAAATTGAAAGCCATATCCTGAGCTGCACTGCTGCTCCTCTCTAAACATTCCACTGTATGAAACGCCATTGAATCACCATTACAATTACTGTCTGCTTGTACGCTTGCAGTCGTACTGGTTAGTGATTGGGAAAGTGGCTGCTATTGTGTTGAGAGCAGCTGAATTTTTGGCTGTTATTTTATCATTTGCGACTGCATTCAACTCTTTTATCTCTGTTGTGTGACTCTATATCAGTGTTTTATTACTCCCAAACGGCCTTCCTTCCTTCCTAAATGATCGAACAACCTCTTGAAGATCTTCCCCCAAACCAAACTGTGCACACATTGCCATGGACATGCACTGCCCTGCAAGACTAAACATGCTCAAGTGGTCAAAATGATTCTTATATTTTGTATTGTATTTTTGCCAAAGACTGTTTGCACTGCAACGTATGCCTTTCAACAATAAAAATGGCCACATATGAAACAGCTAATTTATTTCCAACACACTGTATGTCTAGTCACATTTATATAGCGTTTTTTTTTTATGGTACAAATTGTTGCAAAGCAGCAATTTTTGTAAAATGATTCACTAATGAAACAAATTCAGCTGTGAAGCAGCTCTACAGAAGTGTCATTATCCAGCTCAATTTGAGTTTCATGTTTTGTTCTCATCTGATCGTATCAGTGCAGTTAAATCAGTAATATCTTTACATTTAGTCGTTTAATCCCTTTCTTTTGAAAAATGTGAGAAGTAAAAGCAAAATGTGTAGAGAAAATCAGACAGCAATGTATGTGGGGAAAAACATGCTTTTCAGGTATAAATTATTAGAGGTTTGCATAGGGTGACCATACGTGCCATTTTCCCAGGACGCGTCCTGGGAAAATGGCATGTATGGTCACCCTAGGTTTGCAACACTTTACAATAAGGTCCCATTAGTTAGCATTAGTTTAATGTTAGCATTGACTAACATTGACTTTAGGTTAGGTACAGTGTGGGGGTTGAAAGAAGACAAGCATTATCTTTTCCCCCAAAACAAGAGAGCAATCTGTGCAAATGTTTTGTTGGCCCAGAGGAGAACACATTCTCTTCACATGAGTTGTTTTCTTTTCAGGGTTCAGCCTGGGAGTAGAGCCAAGTTGCACAATTAGGCCACAAAGGCTCCCCGTCATCTGGGCTTGTATATGTGTGTCGGTCCCTGTAACGTGGCCCGATTTCAGCGAGGCTTATCTCTCCGTGGGGACTCCCAACTCACAGAAACGCCTCTAAGTGGATACAAGAGAAAAAAAGCTGTCCTGAATAGTGCATGCTCAGAGATTTCACTCCCAGCCTAGAATATCAAGCGTAGCGTTAGTTCTGACAGGTCACGTTAGTCAAGCTCGCATCAGCTGACTCTCAGCTGATCCCCATCAACCTATGGGAATACGACACCTAAGTATTCATATATAAGGTCCCGCAGTAGTATCAGCAGTTTTCGCATTGCTCAATAGCTAATTACCCTCCTCCATCCCCAACTCCTCCTCTGTCAGTCAGGATTCAGCCTTCTGATTCTCCTTTGAATCAGACTAATTCTAAAATGTGTACATAACATTACTGAACTTTAACGATATCTGCAATACATTTATGTTGGTTCTGTTCTGTTTACCCTGGGGGGGTTATCGCTGCTCTCCCTGCTCTCATCCATGCTAGGCTGCATGGATGCGCAGGGAGTTCTTGCCCAGAACGGAACCATACCGCCAATCCAAACTGTATGCTAATTGTCAATCATCTTTGACGATAGTGGTCCTGACAGAACTAGTGCGTAATGAATTACACATCTGAACAGAGAGGCAGTGAGGTATGAATGAAAGTTCACCACAGGACAATAAATGTTTAGAGGTAATGGATTCAGATGCTGCAAACACCACACAATATTGAAGGAAAAGCACAGGAAACGTTAATGAGGCCATGAATTGCATTTTTATCTTTTGAACTTGCATACATCAAAATCTGTCATAATTTACTTTTTCCACTGATTTTTAAACCATGAACATTTTAAAAATGAAAATTTGCTGAAAATGTACTTACCCTCAGGCCACCCAAGATGTAGTTGAGTTTGTTTCTTCATGGGAACAGATTTGGAGAAATGCAGCATTCCATCACTTGCTCAGCAATGATGCTCTGCAGTGAATGGGTGCCGTCAGAAAAAGAGTCCAAACAGCTGATAAAAACATCACAATAATCCACAAGTAATCCACACCACTCCAGTCCATCAGTTAACATCTTGTGAAGCGAAAAGCTCGGTATCCATCAAGATGTTTTAAAGGTGACATATCATGAAAATCTGACTTTTCCAGATTTTAAGTGCTATAATCAGGTCCCCAGTGCATCTACCAACCAAGGAAACGTGAAAAAGATTAACCCAATCACTTTGTTTAGGTAAGCCTTTTTCTGCAAGCGTCTGAGAAAACGAGCG